TTCTTGGGGCCTGGGATGGGGGTGAGGGAGGAGGTATGGGGGCAGGTGTAGCACTTCCTGCGGTTGCAGGGAAAAGTGCCGGGTGTGGTGGAGCTGGAGGGGAGTGTGGAGCGGACAAGGGAGTCACGGAGAGAGTTGTCCCTCCGGAAAGCAGATAAGGGTGGGGAGGGAAAGATGTCTTTGGTGGTGGGGTCGGATTGCAGATGGCGGAAGTGTCGGAGGATGATGCGTTGGATCCGGAGGTTGGTGGGGTGGTACGTGAGGACGAGGGAGATTCTTTTTTGGTTCTTATTGCGTGGACGGGGTGTGAGGGATGAGGTGCTGGAGATGTGGGAGACACGGTTGAGGGCGTTCTCGACCACTGAGGAGGGGAAGTTGCGGTTCTTGAAAAACGAGGACAACTGAGATGTACGGGAGTGGAATGCCTCATCCTGGGAGCAGATCTTCGACCTGTTTGTTTCCTCTCCACCTATCCTCTCCTCTATCCCTCTTCTATCCGCCTCCCACTCTCTCCCTATTTATTTCAAAACCCCCTTCCTCTCCCCCTTTTCTGATGAAGGGTCTAGGCCCGAAACATCAGCCTCTCTGCTCCTATGATGCTGCTTGGCCTGCTGTGTTCATCCAGCCCTGCACCTTGTTGTCTCGGATTCTCCAGCATCTGCAGTTCCTACTATCTCTAGATTTGTTAATAGATTGTTTAAACGAAGACAAAGATTCAACACACAATGCAAGCTTACTGATGAGTTCGGTCCTGTACGCAAATAGAATCTTCAATTAAGAAGGATGTAACGTTACGTCAATTCAACAAATTTCTCTTCCTGACCTAAATCACAAAGATAGCTATTTCCCAAGAGAACAAAACAGGAGAGGCTAAATTAGTGACACCATTCCTGTAACATAGCTATAGCTAGTCATAAAACAGGGCAAGATGCCCAAGATTGTTGAATTTGAACAATGCATTGGACAATGAAGAGTTACTTGATGAAAAATAACATTAAAAGAATGCTGCATTTTTGTAAGTGGAAAACAGAAGTTCAAAAAAAAGAAAAGAAGTCGGCTATAAATAATGTATTGTCAGGAATTCACAGTCACTGCCAGTGCTGAGCTCAGCAACAGACTCCCTTAAGACCATCATGGAGTGCAATATGATTGGCCGTCAGATGTATTCACACAAAGCAGATCATCTGTCCCCAAACACTCCAACAGAATGGAGTGACTTTGAGCAGCAGTTTTTAATATTGATGTGGGATGTAATATTGCATTGGTATGGAACAGTAGGAGGAGCTCTTGTGTAATTCTTTTCAAATGCAATTTGTCAGTTTGAGATGCAATATTGAAGACTTTCCCAAAGGCTTCCCAAAAACCTTCCAAACACAAGCCCATCTGGTTGGGAAAGAGTTTGGGTGTCATAATCTCTGATGTCATTGTATTATTATTTTTATTAATCTACATGAAGTAGGCATCACTAGATAAACCAGCAATTATTGCCTATCCCTAAATGCCCTGGTGGTGAGCTGCTTTCTTGAACTGCTGCAGTCGATGTGGTGCAGGTATTGCATAGTGATATTAAGAAGTGAGCTCCAGGATTCTGACCCAGTGACAGTGAAGGAATAGCCAACAAAATTCCAACTCAGGGCAGCTCATAACCATCTTCATAGGGCATTATGGGTTGGGAAATAAATGCTGGTCAAAGCCAGGATGGTGTCTGGCTTGGGAAGGGGATCTTGAACATGATGGTTCTTCTATGTATTTGCTGCCCTTTGTCCTTGTGGATGGTAGAGGTCATGAGTCTATAAGGTGATGTTCATACAGCCCTGGTGAAAAGTGGCATTGCATCTTGTAGATCGTATAGTACACATTGCTGGCACTGAGAGTGTTGGTGGTAAAAGGAGTGAATGTTAAAGATGTGGGGATGTGTGCAGATTAAGTAAGCTGCTTTGTACTAGATGGTGTCAAACTTCTTAGTGATTGAGAATAATCTCTGAGTACAGTAATTGGCTGTGTTGGATTTGTCCTTTTTTTTTGTCATAACATCACACGGAGTGAATCCAATTGGCTGAAGACTGCTATTTGTGATGCTGCGGATAACTGAAGGAGGTTAAGATGGATCATCCACTCAGCACTACTGCCTGAAGATTTTTGCAATTACTTCAGCCTTCTGCACTTATGTGCTGGGCTTTTCCAACATTGAGGATGGGGATATTTGTGAAGCCTCCTCATTCAGTGAGTTGTTTAATTGTCCACCACCATTCACGACTAGGTGTGACAGGACTGTAGAGCTTAGATCTGATCCATAGGTTGTGGAATCACTTAGCTCTGTTTATCACTTGCTAATTATGCTGTTTGGCATGCAAGTAGTCCTGCTTGGTATGTTCACTAGGTTGACAGCTCACTTTCAGGTATGCTTGGTGCTGCTCCTGGCATACTTTCCATTGAACCAGGGTTGACTCCCTGGCTTGATGGTAACAACAGTGGGGATATGCCAGACCATGAGGTTACATAGAAATTAAGAGCAGGAGTAGGCCATTCAGCCCAAGTCTGCTCCACCTTTCAATATAATCACGACTGATCCTCTATCTCAATGCCATTTACCAGGTTGCTCTCCATACCCATTGATGTCTTTAATATTTTTCAAAAATGATCTCTCTCTTTCTTGATTATACTCAGTGACCCTGCCTCCACAGCCTTCTGTGGTAGTGAATTCACAGGTTGACCATCCTGAGTAAAGAAATGTTTCTTCATTTCAGTACTAAATGGACTAGCCAGTATCCTGAAACTGTAACATCTGGTTCCAGAATCCTCAACCAAGGGAAACATCCTAGTTATGCAGTCTTGTTTGAAATGCATAAAATTCTCAGGTCTCCCTCTCATTCATCTAAACTGTAGTAAATGCAGACCTGTTGAACCAATCTCTCCTCATACTTCAGTCCCACCATCGGCGTTATCAACCTAGTGAACCTCTGCTGCACTCTATGGCAAAGTATATCCTTTCTTAGGTAGGGAGACCAAAACACACACAATACTCTAGGTGTGTCACCAGGGCCTGTATAATTGCTGTAAGACATCCCTACTTTTGAACTCAAATTCTGCTGCAATGAAGGCCATTTGTCTTTCTAATTGCTGGCTGTACTTGCTTGTTTAATTTCATCGACTGTGTACAAGGACACACAGATTCCTCTTCCTATCTGTTTTTCCACACTAAGTGTACAACTTTACATTTATCCATATTATACTGGATCAGCATTTGTTTGTCTGCTTTAAAGTTATCCAGATCATAGTGAAGTCTCTGGCATCCTCCACACAACCCCACCTAATGTGTCATCAGCAATTACATTTGGTTTCCTCATCTAGATTCTTTACATATGTCATGAATTCCAGTGGTATCCCACTAGTCACTACCTGCCACCTGGAAAAAGACTTCTTTCCACCTTGTTGCTTGTCTGTCAACCAACCAATCCATTAGCAGATTGTGGTCAAATACAAATCTGCTGCTGATGGCCCACATTATCTCACGGATGCTGAGTTTTAAGTTGATAGATTTGTTCATCCTAGCCCATTGAGCCCAGTGGTAATGCCACCTGGCAGAATGGCAGGCATCTTCATCAGACTTTGTTCTTAACGAGGAGACAAACCAGTGGTTACCCCAACCAATGGGGTCATGGACAGATGCATCTGTGCTGTGGACTGTTGAGGGCAAAATCAAATTGGTTTCTCCCCCTTGATGGTTCCCTCAAATCCTGCCACAGACCCCATCTAATCACAATACCCTTCAGGACTCTACCATCTGAATCAATAGTGGTGCAGTCAAGCCACTTGGTGGTGAACATCAAAGTCCCCACATGGATGTGTTATGTGCCCGTGCCACCCTACAGTTCCTTCAAGTAGTCTTCAACATGGAGGAGAATTGACTACCAGCCCCACCTCTGCTTGTGAAGTGTTGTCTGGGATATTGTCTACAAGATAATGTCAGACCGTGGCTTGACTAGTCTGAGAGATTACTCACCCAATTTTGGCACCAGCAAGGATGGCTTTTTCAGGGTCAACAGGACTGTTTGCTGCTGTCATTTCCAATGCACAGGACAATACTATGTAACCTATCTTGTTTCATTCCCTTTAATGACTTTTCTGAGCATGATCTATTTCATTCCCTGAAGAACATTCCTGAACAGATTGGGTTTCCTTCTACAGCAAGCATTAGTTGTAAGATGTAATTTAATGTTCTACAGCTCCAGATTTAATAACTGACTACAAATTAACCAATGTCTCCAAAACCTGTGCCAATTTTTGGTACAGTGATAGTACCTCCCCTGTAGCTGTTATCAGCTTTATTGCTGCTAATTTTAGTGAAATGGTTTGGCAAAAAAAATGTCAAGATGGTGAAATGAAAACCTATGTAAATTAGATAATCAGTTATGAATATTCAGCTCATGAAATGCAAATAGTAGGGGTGGCATGGTGGCTCAGTGGTTAGCACAGCTGCCTCACAGCACCAGGGACCCAGGTTAGATTCCACCCTCAGGCAACTGTGTGTGGAGTTTGCACATTCTCCCCGTGTCTGTGTGGGTTTCCTCCAGGTGCTCTGGTTTCCTCCCACAGTCTAAAGACATGGAGGCTAGGTGGATTGGCCATGTAAATTGCCTATAGTGTTCAGGGATGTGTAGATTAGTTGGGTTATGAAGGAATGGGCCTGTGTGGGATGCTTCAAGAGTTGGTGTGGTCTTGTTGGGCCAAAAGGCCTGTTTCCACGCTGTAGGGATTCTGTGAAAGATGTTAAACCTTGAATAATATGACAGTCATATTCAGCAGATTTGCCAGGGCACATTATAAACACTGCTTTCCAGCATGGTTTCTTTATTGTCTGAACATGCCAGATACTCAGGATGCATTTGATTGCACTTTTACATAGTGCAAGCCTCAATACAACTTTCAGTGGTGCTTAGAAAGCACCAGAGTCCAGAGATCCTACCCCAGATGATCAAGAAATGTGAAAAGAAGTTGCATTCCCAAGCAATAAAATCCTTTATTAGAAAGGAAAGGATGGGTATCCATCAGCTTTCACTGTAACCATTCAGGGTTCACCCCTGAGTGTCAGCAATTGTATTTACAGGGTTTTACAGTCACTCATTTCCAGATACTGGAGTATAAATAAGAAGTAATTAATTCTAAGAGTTCAAACATCACATTTTACAGATCAGAAAGATCTCTGAATATTAAGCAATCATTTCAAATATACAGCCATACAAAAGAACAGTAAATCCTGTCCAGATAGATATATACACAACACAAATAACCCAGTATGGGTCACCATCACAGAGCGTAACATGATTGACACCTGCTGCTCTAAGTGCTACACAATCAATGGGACAAATTTGTACCTTTTATTCCCTCCCCTACACTGAAATCAGGAAGAAAGGATTTGCACATATCTAGGAACTGTTAAGAGGCAAGTTAAAGGTTTAGAAAGATGATGCAATCTTAACTTAAGATGACATAAAAAATTAAATAGGCTTTTACAGCTTAACAGTAATGACATTAGCCAGTTTAGAACCAGACCTTACTGGTCAGGAACCCATCAAACCTGAGCTCTGATTTCCCTGGCGCAAGTTGCACTCAACTGATGCATGCTACAAGTAATCTCCATGTCCCGGAGTACAATGGGGAATGCTAGTTGAGCATTGCAATGTCTAATTCCCCAGCTAGTTACCAATTACAAGTCGTAAAGGCATATGGACACAAGTAAAAGATGTAATTGAACTTCTCTGACGCCTCCTGCAGGTTAAATATTTTGTTAAATTAGCGTGGTTCGGATAATGTCAGTGGCTTTGCATAATCTGGCCCTCAAGTGTCTGGTAAGGTTAAGAGCAGCAAAATCAGAGTGGTTTTCAAAATCTTAAGGAAAATTTAAACTGTTTTCCTAAAAGGAAAAATATACTCTTGAACTAAATATTGAGACTTGATGAAAAACAATCTCCTTTGGGATTTGGTAAATAAGTGGCCTTATGACTTTTTAGAAACAAAATCCTCCAGTATGTATCACGGTTTTGCAACCACTTTCAATGAAGTGCTATTTCAAAAGTATTAATTTGAAATACCAAACATTACAAATTAATAGATTTAATTAAATCCCATTTCTCAGGTAGAGTTCCATTAACTGTTCGTGCAGTGCATTTACAAATTCATCCCAGAAGTGTATCACAAGCAGCCAACTCCTTTCCAGATCATTAGAAACCATTGGATTTCAAAAGGAGAAAAAGTGCTTTCATGTACAGACAAGCCTCAGCAATAATCAGAGGTCATGCCTAAGATCCTCCAGTAGCCAGCCTTAAACACCAGCTTTACCTCTGATATCCTCAACAGGATTGTGAATGCAGATATAAAAGAGGAGAAATCCTTCAGGAGATCAGTGATCTTTAATCCTGACTGGCGTCTCAGGCGGTGTTGAGGCAAAATTATTTTCCAAACCTAACAAGAGGTTGGAAATGACTTTACATTCTTCAGACATGTTCAGTCCCATTTTTCAGCATCAATTGTAATCAAATCTTTGAAACCTCATCGCATTGCACAGCATCTGTATTTATGGTTCAACAGACAGCTTACCTTAGTGAGTTTACTGACATGTGCCTAATGCATGTCGCAAGAGAAAGCAATGGATATTTGAAGCTAGCTAAAGGAGGAGTCATTTACATTCCTAAAGATTCGCCGAAACATCAGCAACACTTTCAATTTCACACTTGGGGAAAAATTAATTACATGACACAATCACACATCCTTTGTGATGTCTGTTTGCCTTCTGTTGCTTCCTGTTCAGCTTGGACTCAAAACATGGCTTTGTTCCATACACGACTGCAAACAGGAGGGAGACACTAAAGACTATTGGTACATCCAGGCCGCACAGCAGCCCTTTCACCCAGCAATGTGCATTAATGCAGCTACACAAGAGCTTCACAGCCAGACAGTGGTCCCCACATCCCCTTCAGATACCGGGGTTACATGGGACGAGGTTAGAAGTTAATAAGTAACATTGCGAGGACACCATGGGGTATCAGGATACAGGAGGCAATGAATTGAGCGAAACCTGGACAGAATGAGAGCAAAAGAAAACAGGTTAGGTCAATAGTATGAGATAAATCATGTTTTGGCACTCAAAAGTTAAAATGTCTTGCAGTTTCCACTACATGTTTTATTTATACACTACTATTTAATAAAAGACTAAGTATACAGAGCACTGAGCTTTGTATGGTGCAGAAGTTTCTTTCTGTTCCTTTATCACCTTATGTTGCTAAACAAATCTATCACAGCTTTTTAAAGAATGAATTGCTGGCAAATTCACACAAAAAGGTATCGAGATCAACTATCGTTCTTAGCACAGCACAAGTATTTGGTTTTTTTTTTCCCTAGTGATTTGTTTGCTTTGACTACTGCAATAATAGATGAACTAGACCTGTGCTGAAGAGTTGCAAGTGACTAATTGTAGCTTGGAGTAATTGTGTTAAACTAATCACGCATGGCCATTTTAACAGACAACCTGCATTCTCAATGTTCAACTGTACTAAAGGCAGTAAATCATATTCCCTATGCCATCCCTTCCAGCTGGTGTCTAAGGAATATTGCTCTAATGTGCTGCCCTCCAAGTTCCCATCCTTTACTTTATGACTAGAATGGCATGGGCTTTGCATACCAATACTTGTAAGGTGTGCTTCTTGCTGAAGATTTCCAAACCATACCTTCCTACATTACTGGTGCCAACATAGTTCTTGACTTTAGAAAAAGTCAATGGTTTGACATTGGGGGATGCCTTGATTCAGTATATAAAAGAGGAGATCTCTTTCTACAGCATGAAGTTAAAAGGTAGTTCAGTATAATCAATACTTGTCTCCTTCAATAGCTCTGCAATAAGTTAATTACAAAGCAGGGGTTAATTATAAAAAGTTTTCCTGAATAGGTTTCTGCATAGAGCACACTTTACATTTCTTCAAAGCAGAAACAAGTTGCTAAAAGGCAACAGGGATGAATGACAGAAACATTAATACATTAAGCAGATCACAGCGACAACACAATGGGATCTCACACTTACCGAGAAGGATCCTGCTCAATGGAAAAGTCCCCTTTCAGATTAATGGCATTCCTTTTATTTTCAAATGTGCCATAGCTTAATGTAACCTGAAATACAGACCAGTCCAGTTAGAGACCTTGTTTGCTACTCCAAACGGAATGGGCATGGTTGATTATTGAAGTACTGGAGACCTGATTCTGACACTTACCTGGTTGGGAATGTCAGCTCTCATTACTTGTTGCAGGTTCTCCAAATGAGAGTGGAACAGGTTACTCCGAATCAGTTTCACTCCCAGAATGGCCTCAATAATATAACCAATGGTGCAGTCATCAGGAAGACGGATTTTCTCTGCAGTGTTAATGAAGTGACCTCCACTATGAAGAATTGGAAAAAACGATAGAGTTAGGGTTAGGCATATTGCAATCTGTTCAACACAGCAAATTCCAGCTTTGGGGTCAGGATAGCAGGTCATAGCAAAAAAGTTCAAATTCATATTGCATCTTAAAAATCCTATTTGAATTAGATTAGTTACGTAAATTCTTAGAGCCAATAATCACTGTCAAAATGTTTAATTTAGTTACAGCTAAAATCTTATCATTGAACTTTCAAAACAAACAAGCTCTACTACAGTAAGCACTGAATGGATTACTCACTTGCTTGGTCCAGATTTCATTAAAAGGTGTACTATTTATTATTATAAACCCCATTTAGGAAGCAAAATGATCCCAGTCAAAAAACAAACTATGGATATTACTGCAAATTGTGAATCTTGTTTATTTAGTCACTGTCAGCTCATACCTTGCCCACGGACTCATCTTGAGTGCCAGCCCTCGGCTGATACAGAATCCAGCTCCACCAGTGGCGAACCAGAAATGCACTGGACGCTGCAAGAATAGAATTGAACAACATCATTGAACTAAATGCCATCCTCCTCCAATGTCCTCACTGCCCCATCAGTGCTAAGAAACACTAGTAGCACCAGCATAGAGAAGGAGCAAGATGCCCCAAGCTACCCCATATTCAGCGGGGGGAATGTTCCAGGATGCCAACTCCTTCACAAAGGCTTATCCCATGTGTCGGAGTTGATTTTCTTGTTAGCATTCATGCCTCAGAATTAAAAATGGCTCCAACTCCATTTACCTGAGCACAAAAACTCAGCTGGCATTCTAGTGCAACACTGAGGGAGTACAGCATTGTCAGAGGTACACCATTTGTATGAGATCCCATTAGCCCTCATGGCAGGAAGAGATTCAAACCTACCACTTTAGTATCACTAATCCTCTCCGTAGCCTCAATGGGCCGATCCAGGCTTGGTTTCCCAATGTAAATATCCTGTGTGTGGGGGTATTGTGCAAGGAGCTTCACCAGTGTTCGGGTGTTCACGTAGTTATCATCATCGACATGACAGAACCATCTGCAAGACAGCAGGGTGGCATCAGTTAACAGCACACAAGACAAAAGACAACAAACATTGATTGGTCAATCATTCACCCCCCTGGTCTCTTTCTCATTTACCACATCCCCACCTCTTTTCCCTCTTAGATCATTCTCCCCACACCCATCTCCTATCTTCTGACCAGTCCCCTGATACGCCCCCTTTAAGTCTCATTCTCCCCCATCATTTCATTCACAATCTCTTACCCAAACTCTGACTCACGCCCACTACCATTTTCATTCCCATTGCTCACTACCTTGAAGTAGGTACACTGATACGGCTGCGCACGACATCAGCAGGGTATAGACAAAACACCACTCAGTAATGCTATAGCTCATCTGGTTTTTCCAGAAAGTTGTATCCATGAAAGAATTGCTCAGATTGACTGCTGAGTTAGGCCTCCCAAACAGATAGTCTCAACGCTCAATGGTGACTCAGTGCTGGCTCAGTTCCAGGTACAAAACCTCAGAAATCCAGAGGTTGGACAGGAACAAGACATTAGATCAGTGAGCTTTTCTACTCCAGCAGGAGTCAAAGTGAGAACTCGATCCCCTCTTGAATATCCTGACGACATATTCAGTCCAAGGTATATGCAAGACGACTAGGTATATAGATAAACAGTATCTATGGAAATGTGGTTTGGTATGTTGTTGGGAGGGGGAAGAAGGGATGTGGGTGGGGTGGAATGGAGAGGGCTATGAGGGGCAGTGTGGGGGCAGGGAAAACAGAGGGACAGAAGAGGGATGGGAGTGGGAATTGGGGACAGGGACCAGTCTTAACACTGAATGCGAATGTGTACATAAAGTCCAAAACACAAAAGGCTGCTGTCTTTGGGCAGCCCATGTGTTAGTAACAAATTTCCAAAATCTCAAAGTCATTTCCTGAATTTTCACGATGGCTCGAGCCTAGCTGGACAGGGGTCAGCTCATACAGTCCATCCTACACCACAAATCTGTCTGTAAGGAATGTAACTAGATTCTGATTATATCCGTCATCGTTTCTCTGGCATTTTCATAATCCTTTCCCAGGAAGTCACTGACTTTCACTACCTTGTGGGTGAATTCAACCCATGTATTGGTGGCTTATCTTCATCTAACCATAGGTTAGAAGAAATGTCAGATATATCCAGGGCAGAGGGCCCCCAATATCCAAGCTTGTTTGCACTTGACTATCGCACATACACTGGAGTCAGTATTCAACAGTGAGAAACAAGAGTCCTAGCGGATGTTAGATTCAAGATTTTTTGAGTGGGTGGGGGGAGCAGGTATGTTGAAGCCTCTGTTGCATTCCAACAGCTCCTCTGCTTTTAGATCAATGGATGAGCTGCACATGGTTTAGGTCATAAAGTCAGGTGATGTAACTACACTGTTCGGTCCCTTTCTCCCTCAAAGACTTACACTTCTCTCGTTACTTACTTTTTCCCTGATTCGATAAACTTGTCGTACTCGACTGCCATCTTGCAGGAAAGTGCTTGTCGGCTGTGAGCAGCTGAGCAGTTTGTATTCACCAGGTGGCCTGCTGCTGGATGGGGGAAAGGAAACACATTAACAATGATATCCTCGACAGAACCAAGGCAGGAGCTGCAGAGCAACAAAGGGTACACCAGAAGTGCAACAGGATCAGTCAGAGACAAATTCAGGAATCCTGGGGTCAAACAATTGAGCTGAAAACAATGAGGATTTGGCTTCCTACGCTGCTTTGGAGAAGGATGAGATATTTTGGAACTGTCCAACCACAAAGAAAAAAGTGGAGTAAAAACTCCAGAGGCAAAAAAAAATGTCACCAGCCTCTGTGCAAATCCAACCCCATGGTTTACAAGGATCAGAGCTACAGCATTTGCTAACAGCTGTTGTCACACTGCAAGGACACTGCGCCTCATTCCAACCAATCCCTTAAACATTTCCCTGCTCTCTCAGGACAGCCACAATCCCTATAGCAACCAGCTCTTTATTTTCCCTCCTCTCCTCTTCCCCCTTTCAATTAATTTGATTCAAGGGCATCCCATGCAACAGGTGGCAGATAGTGGGAAAGTTTTCACTCCATAGGGACTGAGGTATGAAATATTGACAACTATCAATCACAGTCACACTTGGAACCTCCAAAAGCAGGGGCTCTCAAGGCTTCGCCCCACCCCCGAGTCAGTTCACAGCTCACCGTTGGAGTCAAATCCACATTTTGTCATTGTGGTCACAAGGAAGACCGGACAACTTTTCTGGATTAGTCAGTTAACTCACTCCTGGATCTAACCAGTTTCGCCAACTTAACAAGTCTCTATCAGGGATTGGCTCATTTACAGGGGTCATGTCACCCATTCTCACCCCACAGCTTTGTAGTAAATTAAAGATTACTACTTAAAATAAACTTTGTTGCTAAGTGATCTGTTAACAATGCATTTTATAATGTCATTCCTGAGCCCATAAAGTTCGGAGTTGATGGGTTTCATTCTCCTACTCCAAGACGTGGAACAGGTGTACAGCAAGGACCTCGTGTGAGCGCCCCCCTCCCCCCAACTATTCCCATGGCTTACCTGTCTTTCTCTTCAGTTCCTCGTCTTCCCCGTCAGTGAAAATATACGTCTGGGGGGGGAAGAAAGGAACAATGAATTTTAAATCTACTCAGCCTGTCTGGTTATTTCTAAGAGACTTCGTGTTTCTATGACAGTGTTGCTGGAAGAGGTGAAGAAATTGAAAAGAGCACTTGGTTACTTCCAGGTCTCAATTACTTTGCTGCATTTTAAGCAAATTGTCTAAATCCAAAACGGACGCCATTACTTAATCGACGCCAGTTGCACGGAGATCGGAGACTACTGCCGAGTCTGGGCTCCCTTTTTCTGCGAATATTTGTGCAAAAGGATTCCAAATTTTGTTATCTGACATATCCCTCCCAAAAAAAAGGACAAGTCTCTGTACAAATCCACCTTTGATTTGGTCCATCCTCGTGTCAGCTTTGGCTTTTATTTACTGCGTCGCCAGCTGGGATCAATTCTGCATTAATGCAGAGTTTATTCCAAACTGGTGCTTAAACAGGCTCGAAATGTGAAGAGGGAAATGGAGTGGGGGAAGGTGACGCTGCTGGAAATGGGGGCTGAGGGGAGGATTGAGGGAGGGTTGGTGGAAGCAGTGAGAAGAAAGCCACCCCACATAAAAGGGCCGTTGTATTGCTCTGCGCTTTGCCGGGGCTTTCTCCATAGCAACCTGCTCGGAGCACTACAGCATCCCAGGCCCGGAGCTAACTGCAGACAAAGGGCAGGGGGTGACCCCTGGGCTCCCTTAACAAAGGCCATTGTAGCGAAGCCTGTCATCCAGCAGCACAGCTATGCTCCCAGAAATGGCCTTAAAGCCAGTACTGCCAACGTGTTAACCATCCAGCGACCGCAATCAAGTCACTCAGGATTTTTAAACATAACTAAAAAGGAAGAGGAAAGACATTCTAGGATAAAGTGCGTCTCATTTGCGCTTTCATTCTCCCTTCAGCCACTCAATGTTTCAAGAGCTACTCTCCGTCTGGGTGCGTCTCCACCTGGTACAGAAATACCTCAGGTGCAGGTACCCACCCGCCCCCCCCGCCACTTGTCTGTGTTTTACCAGGCGTGTTTATACAGCCCAGCACCAGCCCTGCCTGTACAATGGCACGGCCTCCTGGAGTCACTCGGGGCTCGGCAGCAGGGAGCAGTCACTTTCATGTGGCTTTGGCCTGGGGCCAAGCCCTGGCTGTGCCTCCTTGCCCACGAGTCTCACACCTCCCTGTGTGAACAAGGGGAGGAGGGGGTGGTGCTAGCTGGGAAGGTGGTGCTGCTCACAGAAGTCAGGCTGCTGCCGTGTTTGTAGTCGGGGTGGAGCCGGTAACAGTGGCCGTGAGGCGGGGGGCGGGGTAGATAAGGAGACTACGAGGAAAGGCAGCTGAGGATTCAGTGTCCCCGGGGGCAGGGAAGAGGTGTGTGTTGGGTGTGGGGTGGGAGACAAATACCTCAGGAGGGGCGGGGATTGCAAGACCATCTGTCGAGTTCAGGGAGCAGAACACTACGGGGCAACTGGAGGGAAGAGGGAAAAAAAAAGTGTCAAGGAGGAAAAACTAATAGCATAAATCTGCTGCACTATGTGCATTCAAGGCATGCAGCGCTTCAGTAAACTCCCCTCACAATGGCAAGGATTCCGTGCTTGAATGAAGTCGCCAGCGAGGAAACTAAAAAACATGTTTTAACCGATTAGCATACAGCTGAGCAATTTACACAAAAGGATGAAGGGGAGGGGTGGGGACAGGAGGGCGGCAGCTGAGAGGGTGGGGGGGGGGGTGCAGGGGTGGAGATGTAGGAAGGCAGCACGTTAAAGTCCTGGCCACCTGCTCGTTCCATTACCAGCTTTTCACCTAACAATACACATTGCTGCTGTGTTATGATCCGAACACAATCTGTGCGCTTTATTTAATGGGGAGAACCTGACGGAATTTGGGATGAACCATTGAAAAGATTTAGCTGTTTATGAATTAACCCTTCCCCCACTGCAGCGCGCTCTTTAGTTTGATGTCGATCCTTATAAATTACTAAAACTTTCCAAACGCAAATATCGCAGATTGATGAAGGGAAAACGTGTCAGACCAAATATAAAATCTCACAATAATTCACTCTTACCTGGGAATGCTTAACTCATTTATCATGTACAAACATAGTTGGATGCCAAATTGTTTAAAATAAAAGTTTAATGGGTAAATAAAACCAACGGCAGATACTTTTTAACAAAGCTACATAGTACCGCAGTGCTGAGGATACATCATGACTGTTTGGGAAAATGTTATCTCCAAATTACTCCTTTAAGTTTGTCCTACTCCCTTAGGATTTGACAAATATCAGAAGTCCTCTGATAACTCCCCACAAAACAATGTGGAGTGGAGAATGGTGTAATCCAATTGGCCTCAGCAACCTTGAATTAGGAAAGGTGGCTGTGCACCCGGTGACCTCCCAATTACTTTCCTGAGACTGCTGCCTGAGGTTTATTTTGGGGATATATATCTGGGGACAGCAAATGCCAGGCAATGACCATCTCCAACAAGAGATAATCTAACCACTGCCCCTTGGCATTCAAGGATGTTATCAATGGTGAATCCCCCACTATCAACATCCTTGGGGTTACCATGGACCAGAAACTCAACTGGACTCACCACACAAACTCCTGACTCCCAAAGCCCTGCCCACCATCTACAAGGCAGAAGTCAGGAGACTGATGAAGTACTCCCCACTTGCCTGGATAATGCCAGCTTCAACAGCACTCAAGAAGCCTAACACCATCCAGGACAAAGCAGTCCACTTGATTGGCACCACATTCAAAAACCTCTGCTCCCTCCACTACTGACATGCATTAGGAGCAGTTTAGACATTCAAAGATCCTTAAGAAGGCACCTTGCAAACTCATGACCACTTCCAACCAGAAAGACAAGTGCAGCAGATACATGAGAACACCACTCCCTTCAAGTTCCCCTCTGAGCCACTCACCATCCTGGCTTGGAAATATATTACTATTATTTCACTGTCACTGTCAAAATTTTGGAACTCCCACCGTAATGGCATTATGGTTCAACCCACTGCACATGAACTACAGCCGTAAGGCAGCTCACCACTGCCTCCTGCAGGTTAACTAGGTACAGGCAATAAACACTGGCCCAGTCAGCAATGTATTTACTCGAGACGTGGGCAAAGAGGTAATGTGATAAAATTGAGGGGTCTTGCAGCACAGTGGTAATGGTCCTGCCTCTGGAATAGCCATACTTGAGCCACATGAAGAATGTCAATGTTTGTTGTCAGACAATTCAGAGGTTTCACAGGACTATATTGCTTAAAAAGGATCAATATTCCTTTTCTATATTTCTGAAAAGTTAATAGCAGCAATCAAATATGGATCTGGAAAATCCAGAAACTGACCTTTACTGGCTTGCTCCGATTGTCACCAAACATATCCAGGCACAATTCAGAGCTGCACGGTTTGGGTTTAGCTAACATTTCCAAATAGAGAAAACGAAGGCTGCTGTTAACAGCAGCAGGGGAATCATCAGGACAAGAGGACAGACCCGTCTGCATTTTCCAGCAAAAACATTTGTTGTGTAATGGATTTCCAGCCAAACAAAGAAAAAGCAACAAAACGTTGAGAGCATTGAGCATCAAGCTCTCGATTCCAAAAAGAAAAACAATGCTGAAGGCTGTTTCATGAGATTCTATCCATATGTTGAGGAGTGGAGGCTGTGTGAATGGCTGTCACCTCCTGCTCACAATGCAGCATGGAGGGAATCCAGCTGCCAACTTCTCAAATGCAGGAAAAGCTGTGTGGCCCTCGAGTCTGCACTGCGGAAGGCAGCAGCCGGCCAGACTGTCCCTGGCTGCTACAAGGGGACTGAGCAGGAAGGGAAGGGCAGGGCCAGGGAGGGGGGAGTGCTCTGTCAGCCCTTACGGAGCCTGCTTCTGAATTCTGCAGTTATCACTTCCCCCATTGCTGCCCTTCTTGCTGGCTTTGCACAAGCATTTTCCGCATCAGTAGCAAGCCAGGAAACTGGCTTCAAACAGCAGTATTGACAGGAGAACTCATTTCATATAATTGATTAATCATTAACGTTCAGTTGTTCTGGACTCAAAATATTAGCTGTTTGTCTCCACAGATGCTGCCAGATGTGCTGAGTTGCCCAGCATTTACTTGTTTTTATTTCAGATCTCCAGCAACTGCAGTATTTTGCCTTCATTGCAATTTTTTTAAACCTTCAAAAATATGTCATTTTACCTTCTGTTTCTTTTCTTGCCCTTCCAATTTGAGTTTAGTTTGATGCCATGCACTCCAGCCTGGCTGGCCCTACTGGAGCACCCATGCCAACAGACTGGTTACTAAAGTTAATCAACAATAATTAGCTCAATGGAGTGCACACAATGTATGTTAAACACCATCTGCTGTGCATGCATGTTCTTGTTCTCATTCCTGCCCTTAAGCATTAATATTACTCTTGGCACATCTGCATCTTTGGAATTGGGAGTCATCTGCAGAACTGAAACCCGTTTCCCCAGGTGTTACAATTCTGTGAGCAAATATAGCAATATCAACACAGAGATTGAACTATTTCTCATTCAGTTGAACCTGCATTTCTGGTGAACTTCTACACTCATTAGCCTTTGTTTCAGTCAGTGGCACGAGAATTACCCTCAGCTTAATGTGTGGCTCATATTGCTTCATTACTCCTTCTACAAGGTAGGATTGATTAATACTACCACACTTGCACAAACCCAGCTCCTTCAGAAGAATAGGGCTTTCATCTTACCTGAATCTATTCACAAGATACTTTGTGTTGAAGCAAACAGTCATTGTTTTCTGGCACTATTGTCACCCTGTAGCTTATTCTTCTCTTCCAACTGGGAATTACACATTGAATGCCAAGAGAAAACAATGCAACCAAGACAGGAAGGCACACTGGAGGAACTAGCAACAATGAAGTCAGCCAGGTCTGAGAAAAAGGCAGGAAGTAATTTTCTGTGGATAAGCTCAAAAACAGAAGGCGGCGGAGGGAACACAGGAAGCTTGGCAAACATGAAATAAAAAAGGTCCATTTG